TCTTTACAATCTCTTTCTTGAGATATAGTGAGAAAAAGTATGATATCAATTAATAATAAATCAGATAATATGACAGTTTTTGAGAGAAAAACTGATAAAAAATAAATTAATTTTTTACAGAGAAATTGATTAAAACTATTCAATTTTATTCTAAATCATTCAATTCTTCTCACACAATAAGTGTGCAACTCAAATCAGTTAATAAAGAGTGTAAAAAAGAATTAAGTATTAATAAAAGCTCTTCAGTCACTGAAAAAGTAATTCTTACTTAAAAGAATATGAAATTATGATAGAAAACAGCTCTGTTTTTAATTCTTTATAAGAATATTGTATAAAATGCAGAGAAAAACACCTTACTTTTTCAAGAGAAGTAAAAAACTATTTCTAAGATCTTTTTCTTTTTGTATTAACTACTGTAGAAGAATGAGATAGAAACTGCTAAGATATATACTACTATATACTCTCTATCAAGACTTTTTCTCTTCAGAGTCTTGATATTATAGAGAATATAAGTCTGTTTCTATATAATAATATAAATATTATCAGTGAGATGTAGAGAAACTGATTATTTATATCTTAAAATAGAAGACTTTGTCAATGATTATATTAATATAAAGTTAATTCTCAAATTCAATAGAAATCTAGTATTACTGTTCTCAATTTCTTACAGAATTTATTGAATATTGAGATATTAAAACTAGATTTAATATATCTCACTGTGCAGGAATCAAAGGCTCAGTCAGATCTTGAAATATACTGATTTTATAGTTATTATATCTACTGATTATATATTAAGTACAGTTACTGAGATATCTTTTTGTACTTTTCTATTGAGAATGAGTCAGATTGAGAGAGATGATATGAGAATGAGACTTGATATTGATATCTAGATACACTGAAGACAGACTACAGAGATTGCACTTCAGAAGTGACTGTTAATTATATGCTTGATATTATTGTCAAGATATCTTTTTATATTTTTCTGCTGAGGATGAGCCAGATTGAGAAGGGCGGTACAAGGGTGAGACTTGACATTGATGTTTTGAAACATCAAAGATGAACAGGGTTTTCACAGAGATTACTTCTCAGATATCTTCACAACTACAGATCAGAGATCTTTCAAAATTGAGAAGATTGATACATATGACTAGGTCTCTTCATCTTACAATTTGTATAGCAATTTGGCCCGGGGTTGTGGTGTGATAGAGAAGAATGAGGGATAATCCCACACAGGAGTTCTGAACAATGTCTGGTTCACATTTGGCTGGATAACTCCACCACCACACGGGGTATGCAGTTGGCGATGGGGTCAAAATGCTCGTATGATTGAGGGCTTTTCGATGGATCTATCGGCGGGTTCTTATTCGAAACATCGAGCGAGTTCGTGGTGGAGCGGTGTTATCACACACTGTAGATGAGGAAGAATAAGTTAATGTCTTCAAGAAATTGACAAAATTACAAGTCAAGGAGAATGATTATCTTACTTTTCAGAGATATTTTCACTATCTTATTACTCATTACAAGGAGCTCTGTCAGAGTACTAAGAATGTATATTATAATCTTTTCCTCAACAATCTACAAGATTATCAAAGACTGTTTATTAAGACATATTTAAATAAGTTTTTCTTCACTGACTAGAGACTCATTATCAACATTAATATCAATGATTTGATGAAGCAACTGATTAATCATACATTTAAAAAGATTATCACTGAGTGGAAAAAGCAGTCTCAGACTGATTCTGTGACTGTGAAAAAGAACAAAGATAAGAACAAAGATAAGAACAAAAGCACATCTGTATGAAAGTGCACTCACTGTAGAAGACATGAATATACTGTTGATAGATGTTTTATCTTACACTCTGATAAAAAGAAAAAGAAGGATGATAAGAAGAAAGAGAAGAAAAATGACTTGATAAGTTCTTAATCAGCAGTAAATACAGTAATTACAAAGATTGAGTTCTATTTCTCTTTCACAGTCACTGAAAAATCATCCTCTAGATCTTGATATTTGAACATATGTACAAGCCTGAATATGACAGATGAGCTTCATTCTTTTTTAAATATCAAACCTTTTAATGATAACATCTCTGTTGATTCTGCAACTGAGAGAACTGAGTTTATTAAGAAGATTAAGACTGTCATCTTGAAGATTGAGAATGATGATGTTAACTTGCAGAATGTTCACTATATCTCTAATATTACAGTCAACCTGCTCTCATTTATAAAGCTTGAAGATCAGAGATTCTGATTTACATTGTCTTTCATAATTCCCTCATTTTTCATTTGCAGAGCCCTGAATAATGTTATTTTTCATACAGTTCAGACTGCTCAGAACAACATATATAAGATTAACAAGTAGAAGTTCAATGAGAATCTCAATCATCTGAACAGAGCAGTCAAGTATATTGCAATGATGTCTTATGAGTATGATTTTAATTAAAAAGTTGATCTTTCTATGACTGCTGTCACTACTGTTAATAATGTTGATTCTGCAGATATGAAAACACAGACATCAAAGATATCAAAGACTCTTTTGAATTGATATTACAACCTCAGTCACATTCACACTGATGCTATAATTGCTATGGCCAAGAATTCTCATACTGAAGTCACAATTAAAGATTCTAAGACTAAGTTCTTTTGTGAGAAATGTGTCAAGGCAGATATGATATGAGATTATTTGAAAACACTGATACCTAGATCTATCTGACTCATTGAGAAGGTTCATATTGACCTTGTAGATGATGAATATACATTGAAAGATCTCTCTGACCATCTCTTAGAGTTTCATCAGAGAATCAGATACTGAATACTTATTATCTATGACATGACTTACTACTGTTGAGTATATTTTTTAAAGTTCAAGAATGAGGCTATTCAATACTTTGAGTTGTGGCTCAGATTCATGAATAATCTTGAGTATACAGTTCCTGCTTTTCTATGAACTGATATTGATGATGTTTTCCAATTCACATGTATACACACAGTTATGAATTCATATAATATTAAATGAAAACTAACAGCATTACATTCATCACATCAGAATGATGTTTCTGAATGTGAAATCTGCACTATCATAGAACAGATTAGAGCTGCTCTTTTGAAAGATAATCTTTCTAAGAAGTTCTGAGTAGATGTTCTAGAGACAGTGATTATAATAATCAATAATACTCTCACATCTACAGTTCTTTACAACTTGAAATTTTGACCCTCTACTACAGAGATCTCTGTGATTCCAAGTTCATATAAGATTTCTTGATGTGCACTTATGAATATTCTACTGAATATGAGGCATTTTCACTGATTAAGTGCAGAGGTTTTTATTCACTTGCATGAATCTCAGCAGCCTGTGAATAAGCTTTCTTCACATACTGATTTCTATCATATCATTGAATTCAGTGACACATTGATATATTGCCTATGACATTCTGAATCTGACAAGATTATTATCAGTAGTGATGTGAGATTCTCAATTACTGAAAAATTGAAACTGATTATCACATCTGTGACACTTATTAATAATACTGATGAACTGAAACCTGATATTCATCTGATTGATAATGAAGATACTTCTGATATTAATGATCTGAATTTCACATGATTACAGCTCACAAAATCGCTGACTACTTACACTTCAAGCTCTGTTACAGGTAACCTCCCGAAGTTCTACAAGGATGCCACATCTCAGTCAGAGAGAATAGAAGATTATTGAAAGAAGTTCATACAACACAAGATTACTAACCTGAAGAGATGTAATACATGAAGTCTGATCTCTAGATCTGATATTCTGAGAGATGAACTGATTACTCTGAGCTGTTGAGTGTTTCTTAAGAAAGATAGGCTCATGAACCTGAATACTGATTCTGATAATATTCTTAGAAAATCATGTTGAGTGATTTATAATAACTGACTTAAGAAGAGTTCTAGAGAAGAGATCTATGCTCTGATCATCACTGATACTACTAATTGTATTCTTTTTACAATAGCAGCACTATGCAGTTGAACACTTCATTAAGTGAATATAGTAATGACATATCTTCATGAGCATCTCACTAAGAAGGTCTATATGAGACAACTCACTAAATTTGAGACAGGTTTGCTGAAAACACTTGTCTGTGTGATTGAGAGTAGTCTATATAACCTGAACCCTGCAGCAAAGATCTGATATGATTACTTAACAGCTCTGTTGAGTGATCTCGGATTTACAGTCAGCACTCATGATCTGGCACTCTGATATCATACATTCAGACATCACCTCTATATAATGATCTATGTTGACAATCTCAACATCATATTCAAAGCTTCTGAGAATGCTGATTGACTAGTGAGTATACTCAGTGAGAAATTGAAAGTCAAGAATCTACATCAGTCAATCAAGTATTTGAGTATAAAGATCAATTGTTCAGACAAGAGAATTGGTTTAATACATTATCAATATATCAAATGCCTTGTTGAAGATTTCTATCTTAATGATGCAGCTGTTGTCAGAATATCAATGAAGAATGAATTTTATATTAATAATTTCTCTATATCTGAGAAAGAGACTGATTTCACAATTCAGTGATATTAACATGATGTGAGTTACTTATAATATCTTGCAGTTAAAACACATTCTGATATCACTCACACTGTCTCACTACTCACTCAACAGAATGTTGATTCAACACCTCAATGTTGAAAGACTCTATTACATGTTATATATTACTTGAAAGGAATCATGAATCTGAGCATTTTCTACAGATGCAGCTCATATGAGAGGTTCATTTCTACTGATTCTTTCATTCCCCCTGATTTCTCTGATGATTTCTACCTACCCTTCAGCTACTCGGATTCCAATTGAGCCGGCCTCTTGAATGGTAATAGAAAATCAACATCCAGCTACATTTTTAAGCTCGCAGGTGGCCCGATTTCATGGTGTTCAGTGAAGCAACCTTGTGTATCTCTAAGTTTCAATGAGACTGAATATGTGGCTCTTAGTGAGGCGGTCCGCGAGGCAACATGAATCTGGACAGAAACCTGACAAACAACCGCTCCACCACGAACTCGCTCGATTTTTCGAATAAGAACCCGCCGATAGATCCATCAAAAAGCCCTCGATCATACGAGCATTTTGACCCCATCGCCGACCGCATAGCCCATGTGATGGTGGAGTTATTCAGCCAAATGTGAACCAGACATCATTCAGAACTCCTGTGTGGGATTATCCCTCATTCTCCCCTATCACACCACAACCCCGGGCCAAATTGTCATACAAATTATAAGATGAAGAGACCTAGTCATATATATCAATCTTCTCAATTTTGAAAGATCTCTGATCTGTAGTTGTGAAGATATCTGAGAAGTGATCTCTGTGAAAACCCTGTTCATTTTTGATGTTTCAAAACATCAACATCAAGTCTTACCCTTGTACTGCCCTTTTCAATCTGACTCATTCTCAGCAGAAAAATACAAAAAGATATCTCAGTGATAATATCAAGTATATAATCAATAGTCACTTCTGAAGTGTAATCTCTGCAGTCTGTCTTCAGTGTATTTAGATATTAATATCAAGTCTCACTCTTATATCACTTCTCTCAATCTGGCTCATTCTCAATAGAAAAGTATAAAAAGATATCTCAGTAACTGTACTTAATACATAATCAGCAGATACAATAACTATAAAATCAGTATATTTCAAGATCTAACTGAGTCTTTGATCTCTGTATAGTGAGATATATTAAATCTAGTTTTAATATCTTAATATTCAATAGATTCTGTAAGAGATTGAGAATAGCAATACTAGATTTCTATTGAATTTAAGAATTAACTCTATATTAATATAATCATTGACAAAGTCTTCTATTTTAAGATATAAATAATCAGTTTCTCTACATTCTGCTGATAATATTTATATTATTATATAGAAATAGACTTATATTCTTTATAATATTAAGACTCTGAAGAGAGAAAGTCTTGATAGAGAGTATACAGTAGTGTATATTTTAGCAGTTTCTATCTCATTCTTCTACAGTAATTAATGCAAAAAAAAAAAAGATCTTAAAAATAGTTTTTTACTTCTCTTGAAAAAGTAAGATGATTTTCTCTGAGTTTTATACAATATTCTTACAAAGAATTAAAAACAGAGTTATTTTCTGTTATAATTTTATATTCTTTTAAGTAAAAATTACTTTTTCAGTGACTGAAGAGCTTTTATTAATACTTAATTCTTTTTTACACTCTTTATTAACTAATTTGAGTTGCACACTTGTTATGTAAGAAGAATTGAATGATTTAGAATAAAATTGAATAGTTTTAATCAATTTCTCTGTAAAAAATTGATTTATTTTTTATCAGTTTTTCTCTCAAAAACTGTTATATTATCTGATTTATTATCAATTAATATCATACTTTTTCTCACTATATCTCAAGAAAGAGATTATAAAGATTTTATTAATTTATCTTAAAAATCAATTTTAGTTTATTAGATTCTCTTTAAAAATCTAATCTAGTTACTAAACTAGTGTGAAAAAAATCAGATATTTTATATATAAAAGTCTTTTATTCTTCTTTTGAAACAGTCTGACTAACTTTTCAATTGAAAACAGACTTAGAAATATCTCAATTGAAACAGTCTGATCAACTTTTCATTAAGTGAAAACAATGAGTTCAAAAATACACTCAGTTAATGTGAAAAAAGATGCTTTTTCAAATGCTATTTCTGAGATTGAAATTCTGAAGAGAAGAAAGAAAGAAGAAATAGAGAAATAATAAGTTCTTGAAATACAGAAACTTGAAAAAGTAAGTAAGATTCTTGAAAAGCAGTGTCTGAGTGAGATGAATGAAGAAGTTCTGTTAATTCTTCATACTCAGACTAGACAACTATAGAAGATGATCAAGTTCAAACTTGAAATCTTAAACACAGTTTAAAAAACCTTGAAAATTCCTAGTATAATTACTGACTCTTTATCTTATTCTTCTTCTTTCTTTTTTTCTACTTCTTCTTCTTCTTTAAATTAGAAGAAAACATATGCTCAAGCAGCTGAATCTGCTGTCTTTAAACCTGCTATCTCAAAATCTGTTTAAAATCCTGAGAAAACTGAGAAGAATACTACTCATATCTCTATTCATAGAAAAGTGAAAAAGAAAATGTAAAAAGAGAAAAACTTTCAAATCTTCAGAAATAGAAGACTTATTCTCAAAGTCTTAAATCAGAATATTCTGCAAAGAAACAAGCTAAACTCAAATCTCATTTTCAGAATCAGAAATGAAATTAATCAGCAGTTCTTTTCTCAGTTAATAACTGATATTAAAGTTCAAAAATCAGTTATAGCTTCAATTGAGTTATCATTCTTTAAAAACTTCATTATTCTGACTACAATATCTGAATTCAGTGCTGAATTTCTTATTCAGAATAAGAATCTCTGAAAGTCAGTAGTAGAATCTTTACTAAACATAATAATTCTATCTGAAAGAGATGAAAAGTGAGACAAATTCATTCTTTATAATATTTCAGTTGAAATTTTTGACTGTGAAGAAGAAATACTACTTCTCAAAAATAAATTGAAAGAATATAACTCTATTCAACTGAGAAAGAAGCCTGTATAACTAAATTCAATTAAGTTCAGATAAAGCAGGAAAAATGTCTCTGTTCTAGTATATATAAAAACACTTGAATAGTCAAAGATCTCTGAAGTAAGAGTAGTAGATTTGAAAATGAGAGTTCATGAATACAAAGACTCAAGAATGAATCTCAAAGCTTAAATACAGTGTTCAAACTGTTAAAGATATAAATACTTTACAATCTCATGTTTTAGAGACTCAAAATATACATTCTGTGTCAGAGATCACAAAACTAGTGAGTATAAATGTGAAATATACTTAAAAAGAGATGAAATTTATTAATATACTCTGCTTAAGTACTCTAATTGCAAAGAAAAACATATATCTAGCTCAAAAGAATGTATATTTACTTCTAAAACTCAAAAGAACTGAAGAAAAGATGAAGCTTAAAGTTAATTCAGAACTGAAGAGAAGAGTTAAATCAGTAGACTTATAACTACAGACTTAAAAAGAAGAAACTCTCAACTATCTAAGTCTTCAAACTTCAATTCTTCAGCTAAATGTAAATAGAATTTGAATTCTTAAACTTCTGTTAAAATTAGAGAATTGAGAAATAACTCTGATAATAAACTAGATATAATATAAGTAGTTAAGATTTCTACTTTTCAGAACAGTTATAATCTACTATCTAATAATAGTAATTAGATTCTACTCTACTCTCTTTTAATATGAATATACAATAAAAATAATAAAAAAAGTTTAAAAACTCTTCAAAAATCACATTTATTTAAAATAATGTGAATAGAAACTCAAATTATATTTATTCTTATCTTCAAATTACATTTGAATAAAAAGTTAATTTTATACTACTTCAGAAGCCAAATTTTAATGCTGAGTAAAAATATATTATTTCTTATTCAAGCTACTACTGCTTTTTATCTCAAAAGTCTGAGATAAAGTCAAGAGTAGTAATCTATGAAAGAAAGAGATTAAGATATTAATTTAATCTAAGATTTAATATTATGTCTGACTCTGATATTCTGATGAGTGATATTATAGATAAAGAAAATGAGTTTAATATTATACAGCTTATAAATATATATAATAAAAAGTTATTAAAGAAAAATAACAATATCTGAACAATTAATAGAGAATTTCTGAATATAACTTTATTAAGAAACTCTATAATTATAGAAGATTTCAATACATATTATCTCTGATGAAATTCAGAATGTAAGAGAGTAGTGAGAGCTGATAATCTAGTTAAATGAATCTTTAAGCATTTAATAGATTTAGTTAATAAGTCTGATTAACAAACATTCTTTAGAAAAGATATAAAACAGAAGTCTATTATAGATCTAATCTTTATATTATAAAATGTAATAAAAAGAAGACTTATAAACTGATTTATTAATTCAAATAAGATATCAGAATCAGATTATGAGATTATTCAATTTAATATTGAACTGAGTGAAAAATAAATGAGTGAAAATCCTCTTCTCTCTAATCAGTATAACTTTGAAAAAGCTGATTGAAAAGCAGTTAAAGAAAGTATAAAACTGTTAAAATCTGAAAGACAGAATGAGCTATATTGAAATTCTGATCAAGATATCTCAAATGAAATACTTAAGAATAGAGTGAAGCTTATTACATCTACTATTCTAACAAGTGTTAGAGATAATATTTCAAAAAGAAAATCTTCTAAGTATTTAAAATCTTAATGAAATGAGAATATCTCATTTAAAAGAAAAGAATTAGCTGCTGCTAGAAGAGATTGAAAGAATAATATAATATCTGATAAAGAGTTCAAAGCTGTCAGAAATGAATATTTTTCAGATATTAAAAGAGCTAAAACAGACTACTGAAATAAATTTCTTAAAGAAGTATAAGAGAAGGAAGTTTTTAAAGCTTTTAACTATACTAAAACAAGAAGTGTAGCAAAACTTTCAGTCTTAGAATATGAGTTTCAGAATGAATTATATACAGTAAACTCTTTTGAGAAAAAATGTTAAGCTTTTATAAGAATTCTCTTTCAGAACTTATCAGATTCAGATTCAGATTTAGAGAAAGAGAATATATTACTTCTCAACTATATTGATAAAAATAACTAAGAATGATCTGATCTTATATAAAATGAATTAGAGTCAGCTATTTTCTCAAGTTCTGTTAAAACTGCTGCAGATTCTGATTCAATTAATCACTTGATTATTTAAAATACATATTTCTACTTAAAGAATGAATATTTTGAGCTCTTTTTCAATCTCTTGAAAAATGAATATCATTCTGAATACTGAAGAGAAGTCACTGAAGTGATTCTTATAAAACCTAATAGAAAAACTTCAATTTCTAAGTTATATAGAGTAATATCTCTATTAAACTGTCTAAAAAAGATTTTAGAAAAGATAATAGTTACTTAATTATTTTTTATAAGCTCTATAGATGATTCTCTTTTATTCAGTGAATAAATAAGAGATAGAAAACAGTGTTCTATAATTAACACTGTTCTCTCAGTTGTTTATAATATTTAAATAACAAAGTATAAGAGTCTGATCTCAACTGCAGTTTTTATTGATATAAAAGAAGTATTTAATTATGTTTCAAAGTCAAAGTTAATTCAGATATTAAAGATA